TTTGAATACTGCAGCTGCGACAATTTTAAAACATGAAAATTTTAGCGATGACTGTCCAAAAACTGTTTGTTTCCCCCTTAAAAATCTACTGAACAGTCCATCTTGAATTTTTTAGAGATGGTTTTTTTTGCAAAAGATCGAGAACAAACTGAAAAATATCTTTTTCTGCTACAACACAAACTGAGCTAACTAGTTGTACCGGACGATGCGAGTGCATCCTTCAACGATTTAAAAAATATCTTCTTAGAAGCAGTCAACAAATTTGGTGCAGTTAGGAAGTTGAATCAGGGCAATAAATTATCAATTTTTTTCATTAATCGCATTTGAATTTTACGAAATAAAAGACATCAGGTGCACAAAATCTGGATAAATGATTAAGCGAACGCAGTAAAAATCACTAGGTTCAAATTGTTGCGTTGCAAAGTTGAAAAAGAGATAAAGATAGCTAAGAAAAAATTTTATCTAAATATAATTAGAAATTGTTTCGGAGACTCAAAACAGACATTTAAGTTTTTAAATGATCCAAATGGTAGCTCGATTAAGTATTAATTTTTTCCTGCGATAACGTGATCTGCGTCCGGCAAATTTGTTTCGAAGCAAGAGATACTAGAAACTTTAAATGACTTTTTTAGAACTGTTACTTTTCCGTTTTGTCGGAGTAAAGTTTCCGTTATAGAAATCTCAAATAACATAGCTAATTTACCAAACAAAACTTCATCTGGTGATGATATCATCGGCAAGATTTTAATTAAGTTCTCGAACATTTACATTGCACCAGTTATCAGTGTTAATAAACCTGTTTTTTTTTACGCAAGAAATATTTTTGGGTCAAAGGCCGACTTAAATAATTATCATCCGATATCTATATCTATACTATATTTAAATGCGAGTGACAGCTATCTCCCATGTTTAAGCATAATAATTTTGCATGTTTAACGAAAGATTTTTTTCATGTTTAAGCTATATCTTACCTTGCAATGCTGAAGATAATTTTTCAATTAGTTTTCCGCAAGGTCATTAATTTCTCAGTATTTTTTTTTCAAGGCAAAATTAAGTCAGTCTGTCTGTCTGTGTACCTGCTTCTTTAATTAAATTGATCATATCTGTCTCCCGTCGCCTAATTTTTTAACTTTCATCTAATATCTATTATTATATATATAAATGCGGGCTTCACTATCTCGCCGTGTTTGAGCTTTTTCAACGTATTATTTGTTTAAATTCAGTGATTATTTCATCAAGTTTGAAATTAGCAACCGAATAGTGGGATAATGCCAGAGTTTTCCCAGGTTTTGCGATTCTGCCCTCCATATATAACCAAATCGTTTTAGTTAACGAGATAGGCAATTTTCGAGAGTTTTCAAAAATTTCTAGAAACTTTAATAAAGAAAAGTTTCTCAATTATTGAAATTATCACTCTGTAGTTGGGTGCTGTCAGGGTACTCTCAGGGGTTGCGAATCTTGCCTCCAGTTCTCACTTCTCAAATCCTTCTAGTTTTCGAGATATGACATTCTTATGATTTTTTCAAAAAGTTTTCAAAAACTTGGATTTTGAAAATTTCGAAAACGATGAAGATCTCAATCCTGTTGTTGGATACTCTGAGGCTACTCTCAAGTGTTGCGAATCTTGACTCTGATTATGGCTGCTCAAATCCTTGTAGTTGTCGAGATATGACGTTTCTTTTTTGGGTTTTTTTTTTCAAAATTTTTCAGAAAAATTAGATATAAAAAATTTCACAACTTGAAAATACCATCTCTGTAGTGAAACTCTGTCAGGGTACTCTCAGGAGTTGTGATTTTGCCCCGGAATATGATTGCTCAAGTCTTTGTAATCTTCGAGATATGACGTTTTTTATTATTTTTTCCGAAATTTTCAAAAAAACCTGCGTTTTTTTATTATTTTCCGAAATTTTCAAAAAAACCGAAATGTTAAAAAATTCCAAGAGTTTCAATTCTCAATCCTGTTTTAAAATCTGTAATGGTACTCTCAGGGAGGGTTGCGAATCTTGCCTCTGAATATGGGTGCTCAATTTTTTTTGTAGTTTTCGAGATATGACGTTTTTTAGGTTTTTTTTTTCAAACTTTTGAGACAACCTAAGTATAAAAAATTTCACAAAACTTGAAATTTTCATCTCTGTTGCGAGACTCTGTCAGGGTACTCTCAGGAGTTGCGAGTTTTGCCTCACAACTTGACTGCTCAAATGCTTGTAGTTTTCCAGATATGACGTTTTTTGTGATTTTTTCAAAAACATTTCATGAAAATTAAATTAATTTTTTGTCAAAGTTTGAGTTTCCTAACCTATAGTTGGGGGGCTGTCAGAGTTATCTCAGGGGTTGCAAATTTTGGCCTCCAATTAAGAGTTTCCAAATCATTTTTGCTTAAGAGATACGACGATTTTTGTGATTTTTTTGGAAATTTTCAGAAAACTCAAATCACAAAATAATTCGTTAAAGTGAAACTCCCAACCCTGTAGTTGTATACTTTTAAAGATTGCGAATATTGCCATCAAAAAAGACTGCTCAAACTTAAGTAGTTTTCGAGATGTGAATAACTTTTTTTGTAGAAAACTGAAGGGGGAGTTTCTCAGAATTTGAATTTCCCACTATTGTAGTTGGGTACTGTTAGAGTACTCTCATGAGTTGCAAATCTTGCGTCCAAATGCGACTGCTCAATTGCTTTCAGTTTCCGAGATGTGACGTTTTTTAGTTCATTTTAAATTTTTCGAAGATATTATATAAAACTTACCACATTTTTATGGTTCTTCAAAGTTTGTATAAAAAACTTCAGTAAAAAAAAAACTTTGCAAAATTTGTAAATACGAACCCTGTAATAAAGTGCTGTCAGCTTACACTAAAATAATAGTTTTTTGAGTTGTTGAAAATTCGAAGCACCGGTGGTGCGTTACACGCTAGTCTCTTTTAATTTTTCAAGTAAAATTTGCGAACGCTCAACAGGGTATACAACAGGGTATATAAATTCTTCGAAAGGTTGAGTCTTTTTACTTGAAACAATTCGGGTTTCATTCAGAGCAGCACTATTTAAGCTCCTTTCGAAGTAATTGAAAAGCTGAGGCTTCAGAAAAATTCTGGAAAATTCAGTTTTTTTCTCGATTTCAAAAAAAGCGTTTGATACCATAGTTCATCAAATTCTGCTTTAAAAACTAGCTTCTTACGGAGTACGTGGATTTGCTCTCGAATGGTTTAAGAGCCATTTGAGTAAGCGTAAACAAAATGTTGAAATAGCCAATATTACTTCTTCGGGGCGAACTGTTTCTTGTGGAGTACCACTAGGATCCATTTAAGGACCTCTGTTATTTTTGATTTAGCCTGCAAAAATATTTTAGAAAATGCACAGGTGTTTCGTTTTCCAGACGATACGAGTATCAGCTCATTGGGCCCTCGTTTTTCTAGTATTGACACTGATCTTGATAACTGGGTATCTGCAAATAAACTAGCCTTAAATATCGATAAAACCGTTCAGCTTACTTTAGGGTGCAAAGCGTCTCGGACTTCTAAAATGAGCTCAACTGCAAATATTTAGGGTTTTTTTACTCAAAATTTTCACTCCAAATACAAATCCAACATGTTTCCTAAAAGCTGGCTAGCTAATGTGGCATTGTATGTAGACTGCGGCCTTTTTTTCGCGAGATCAGTTGATCAGTTATTACAAATCGGATATCAAACTCATTTTGCAATACGTAATTCTTGTTTATGGTTGTTGCAGCTATACAGCTCCTCACCAAATTTTCATATTTCAAAAAAAAAGTTTGAAATTCATTTTTTTCCGTAAACAAAGAGATTTTTCGCTCGACATGGAATACTCTGTTTATGATCTCTTGAAGTTTGTTCTAAGATCTATCAATAATTTTCATTCTAAATGCTATATTAATGATTTGTTAGTTTGAAAGTCCAAAATTTGCAACCCGTAGGGCCGATAAACCACTTTTAAGGCAATCATTTTGTCGCACGAAGCTGGAAAATTTTTCATTTGTTATGGGGCATGGAAGCTTTACATTGCCCTACAATCAAATGGACTACTACCTAATAAAATTGGAAATTTAACAAGAAATGGAATTATAGATTTAGCTCATGTTTTCAGAGATGGATACTTTTTGAAAAATAGTGAATTGAATAATTTTATCTTTTCCTAAGGATCCATGGCTTAGTGGCTAACACATAGGACTTGAACCCCTGGGGTACGGGTTCGGTTCCCGACTGGAACCCTTGATAAATAATGATTGGATAAAGATTGTTGTACAGAGGAAAGGGAAAAAATCAGAGCTATAAGCAGGGTAATCAGGGTAGTAGGGAAAGAAACAAAGGAAGAGGGTAAAGCAAGGTAGGAGGTGGGGATTGAAATGATCGTTAAAAAAAGAGAATTTTTTGCTTGATTTTCAATGCTCTAAAGTTTCACACTCACAGTTCTTTAGTCTAGTGGTAAAATGCTCGATTGGAGTTCCGGAAAAGGGGCTTCGAATCCCAGTCGGACTTTTTTGTTTAATTATTTATAAATTACTAGTATAATAATTATAATGGTTATCATTAATAACTAATTTGGAAACAAATATTCTCGGCTGATATCGTTATTTACCCTTTTCAAGTCGCTATATCTCTCGCTGTATTTTGATTATTTAGTTATATCAGTTTATTTGAGTTGAATTAACTTATTCTTGTTCTTCTGCTTCTAGCCCCCTGATCGATATGTAAGAGAATTATCGCTGTAGTGGGAACCACCTTAGCTTTATCAGTTGTATTTTACTGATAATTTTAGGATATCTTTCTTTTTCTGATCTCTCTCCTTAAAAACTGAAGACAGCTGGCTAGTTGAAAAGTTCAAAGAAAAGTTAGGTAACTCAAGTTAAATTTAATTTGCAACGAAATCGGTTGTTGTATAATTCTGTGCTACTTTCACTGCAACCTGTTGCTGTAAATAATAGTTTCTTCAAAAAAAGGATTTAGCCAATGTTACTGGAATAGATTTCACCCATGTTCCTTTCGCTTAGGGTATTCTTGAGCTGAAAGCGACTAGTGAAATAGACAATGCATCTGATGCCAGTATTCAGTATTTCCTGGACAGGTTCTACATGATGAGGATATCCATTCGAATGTTGCTCCTCCAGCACAGTAGGGAACCAAGAGTTGTTGTTTATAGCCATCCATTATTGCAATGCGGTGAACTGTTTGTGTAAATTGCCTTTGTTTCAGTTTTCATCAGCGAACAAGAAGAAGGTGATGGTTACTATCATTGCGGTTCTTATCTAATCTTATATTTTATCTTTTTTTGAATGAATAAAAAGTTTTCAAGCTCATTTAAAATTCAAGACCCTGAAACAAACTTTTTTCCAGCGCATTTTAAATCCAAGGCCCTGTTAAGCCAAACGTTTTTGCATGAAAATATGCCTCAAATCTCAGAGCCTCTTTCAATTTTAACCGGTCAGTTGATAAACCGCTGAGCCGATAAGCTTTAAATAGTTGATGACGAAGGGTTGTCAATATCAGTGACCTTGAACAATTTAATGCGTGGAACAATTAAGCGTGGAAATCAGTTTTAAACTGAAATCCGACGTCGAAATGAGCTTTTTTTAGGTACATAGAGTTCGTTCAGATTCGTTAACCGAAAATGATATAACCAATTTGTTATTATAGTTTTCATCAAATTTTTTGGACATAGTCAAAAGTGTCATCAATGTAGAGAGCTGTGAAAAGTTCGGACTGACAAAAATTAATTAAAAAGAACAATAGTTCCATTTTTACAGATTTTTGCTTGAAATTTTGTATTTTCAGACAACGCGGAGGCACAACTTTGGTCTGAAAAATTAGTTTTTGCGTGCAAACTTTTCCAAGTTACGTTAAATGCACTTTTTAACTAATTATGTCTGTCCGAATTTTTTGCTACTACTAATAATTCTGACCTTTAAGCAGGAACATGGCGTTGAAATATAGTTGAAAAAAGTTGGAACATACAAAGTTAATCATTTCAGGCAATTATCTCAAGGTCGCCTAAAAATTGAAATTTGCTGAAAAAAAATGCTCAAAAATGGCAGCTTGCTCTTTCTGTCCGCTCCAACTTCTTTTAATTTATTATACAGTGCTGATTTAAATTATCGGACAAAAGGCATAAAAATTATAAATTCTCCAGTTGGGTTGATTTTAGACAAAAAGCGATGAAGACAACGTTTGCTCAGTTTTTTAGCAGAATTAATATGGTTTAATTTGTTTTTGCGAAATTCAGGCTCAAATTTTTACCGCAAAAATGGATTTTTAATTAAAAATTACGCTGCAACTACCGGGGCAATTACTGACAAAGTTATATTAAAAAGAGCCTCCTTAATCGCCAGACTAGTAAGTAAGATCAAATTCATGCTATAATGCATAAAATCATTTCACTGTTTTTGCTTTTGCTCCCTCCCATGAGCAAATCAAAAACATCATTTGCGCCGCTAAGCTCAGGATATGAGTTTAGCTGCGTATATTTTTTGAATAAGGGTCAACTGCACCAAAGAAATGTCACTCCTTGGAAAAGTGCCCGGGTATTTAAAAAAGAAGTGGTTTTACATATTTTGAGACTTGCAAACAAGCAACGGAATCCGAATTCCCTCGCAAAAATATGCAAAATTAAATCGATTTTTCTGAACTTGGCGCTTTTTTTTTGACGGAGTTATTCGTTTTCACCTAAAATGGTTTATTACTTACTGCCGAGCGCAAAAAAATATGGTGTATAAACCAGGTACCATATGAACCCGCCGAAAATACGTATAGTACATTATTTTTTCATAGAATTATTAAGATAAATGACAATTAATCAAATAATTTATCAAAACTTATCGCGGTTATCTTTTGAAACGCACTTATAAATTACATGTGAACGGCGTTAGCTCTGTTAAAGTTATTACTTGCTGGGGAAGCGCTTAGATTTAAATATAACTGTGGGCTGTCAAAACTGGATACAGGAAAAAAGTACCAAAGAGTGTAGCTTTGTGCCGCTACAAGGTCAAATTTTTCAAAGTTTTTATAGGATAAAATTGCGTGTAATATATGATATCATTTGATGTACTGGCTGAGCGGATGAGCAGAACCCGCCCAACATGGTCTGAAGAAAGAAAAATGTACTGGGTCAATTTGTGCGACTTTTTTTTTCTATGCACAGCTGCGACAGAGGTTCATGCAAATTGGTGTTGACAGGAAGTGGCTTTGCAAACATTGACTCCGGACATCCTCGCTTTGTTGGGCTGATAGATCCAGAGTGCAATATTTCACATGTTATTGAAGGTTAAAACATGTCGATTACATTTAAAACCATTTTAGGAAGAATTTTTTCGAGCGATACTTATCATGACGTTCCGTTTGGATTATATATTTTTTGTTAAGTTGCAGCCTCTAAGAATGTACAGAAGCCTGACACACTTAAAGAAACACATGTTTTTTACACTTGCGAGTGCAAGTGTCTTGCAATCGGGAACAAACAAATTTTCTTACAAATCTTGCTTGGTTTTCTTAATTGCTTTATTATTGGACCTCAACAAATTACAGGTTCGTTCTCACTTGGCCTAGGGTTAATACCGATGTCCTCGCAGCCTAAAAATTGAATTTTTGGACTTTCGTTTGTCGGCTCAAGTTTTGTCGGCTAAGTTGACACAGCACGGTTTTGCTTGTGCTGTAAGCAACTTTCATTGCAAATGCAATTGCAAGTGTCGTTCAATCTAATTTCAGCGGGAAGGGGGACTTGATGAAAGGTTGAAAAAATTCATAAAATCTTTTTCGGCTCAACCTGTGTATACTCTAAGATTTCGGCTTATTTTCCTCTTCGTAACTTTTGTTCCGCTGCTGTTTAAGTGTTCAAATGTCTGGCATGTTTGCCTATAATGCAGTTCTATCGAGACATACGAAAATTTAAATTTTGGTAGACCTATTTTTTCGCCTTAATATATATTTTTTTTTATTGTGTTGTATCACAAGTGGTGCGAAGCTCCGATTCGCCTCTGTGTTTTGTTCTTACGTTTTTTTGTGGTTTTGAGTATACAACAGATGTCTTAGAATAAAGTGTTTTTTTTTATCAGAATGAAAAATTGGCTATAATTTGATAATGAAATAGGATTTGTTATTATTAGATGCTTATGAGAATGCGCGGGATCTGTGCGAGGAGTACTACTTGGTTGCTCCTGGCCTGCAGCTGAAAGACGAGAGCAGCTGTGATGTAAAGATGGCGTACATTCCCTCCCACTTGCATCACATGGCCTTCGAACTGTTTAAGAATGCCATGCGCGCCACAGTCGAGTACCATGGCAAGCACTGCGAACACATCCCTCCTGTGACAGTCACCATCGCACAGGGTCCCAGCGAACTCTCAATCAAGGTTATCCTCGTCTGTCCTCATCACCACCAGCGGATTTAGGAGGGGGGGGGGGGGGGGAATGGGGGGCGGACGCCCTGCCGAATCAAAGGGTTTCCCCTTGTACTATTTTGAGATATCCATTTTTGGCTGACTGACCCTAAAATTTTTCTAAAGGCGTCTTCGGTGCATAAATATACTAATTTTGAGGTTTGGCAAAATTTTCCAAAAAGTTCCTAAAAACGCCTTTTTTTTTAGCCTTTTTTCAACAATTTGCCTGCGGCGCACAAAATTTGGTCAAAATAGGGTCTTTACAGTAATATGGGAGAGCTCACAAAATAATTTTAGTCGACCTAAAAAAAGTCACAAAATTTTAGTTTTTATTTTTGAAAATCCGCCCCCCCCCCCCCCCTCGAGAAAATCCTAGATCCGCCCCTGCTCATCACTTTTAGTATTCACCCTCCCAATGCTGTTCTCATTAGGAACTTGTTCTTTCTGGATGTTTTGCTGCTCCATGGAATTCCCAAGTTTGTTTCTACATCGGCCACATTCTATATTTTGTCGTTTTTTCATAAAAGCTCTATAGAACTTTAAGAAACCGGTTCAATTTATGGGATTTGGAGTCCTAAGTTAAGTAAGTGTGTTGTTTGATTAGATCAGTGACAGGGGAGGTGGCTTCCCCCACCCGGAGACGTGTACTCTGTTTAAATATCTGTACACCACTGCCAAGCTGCCCATGCAGATTTCTACCCACGGAGGAGACTCTACTCCTCTGGTATGACAAGTTACGATTCCGTTAATTTTTGAGATTTTGTTCTGGTGTTTTGCTGTCTCAGCGCAGCACCTAAAAAGGTATGAAATATAACAGGGAATTTTGCTTAACTGAAACTGTTATAACTTTCGTGCGGGAAAAAAGTTATTTGACTTATATTAGATGGAGTTAGCTCGATCGAAAGCGAAAGTAGACGGAGTTAAGCAAGCTAAAATTGCAAAACTGTTAAGCATACAACAAATGCGAAATGCTTTCTCTGGTATAAAAAGAGCTGTATGGGGCTGTTCGAACAATTACAGGTAATTTTAGGCCGGCTACGGATACGGACTGCCTCTGTCCAGAATATACGCGAGATACTTCAACGGGGACTTGATATTGTGTCCACAGGAGGGATTGGGTACAGACGCCATCATTTACCTCAATGTAAGAAAGTTGAACTTCGAGCTTCGATCACAGATGTGGGAAAGAGCTTTGTATTCGGTTGTGTTTTGCAGCAATTAAAAGGCAGGCAGTTTTGTCAGTAAAGATACCCAAATATAAGTTTTGACGTATTTAATGACGCCGAAAAGACAACACTTTTTTCAAAACGCCGTAAACTGTTAACTTGTTAGCCTCCTCCGTTGCTAGAATATTTTAAAAACTCAGAATGTTTTGTTTTGCTAACTTTGAAACTTGAACAGCAGCCGTTGTTCATGACGGTCATCATCTTGGCAAAAAAAAACTAAAATGTGGTGTTCAAGGCGTTCTCATCACGTAGCTTCGAGCATCTTCCAGTGTTTAACTCGGCCACCAAACGGCAGTACTTGGCACCCCAGACTAAGTCAGACTGGACTCATCCTCCTTCACAGAAGCAGATGACGAACAGCAGCGAGGTAGAAGAGAAGAAACATCCTGGAAAGTGACCTGATGACGTACTCTCGAAGTGTTTGACAACCAACGAATCAACTTGAACTTTTTTCATAAACTCAGAACACAGCAGTAGCCATTAGGGATTTTAAAAAATTATTATTGCTATTTCAAACTTCATCAATCTCAGAGCAGATAGTGACTGATTTTTTTCTGCCTAAAGCAACGTTGAAATAATAATTAATTTAATCAGCGGTGATATTGCTTGAAAAAGATTTGATACATCTGCTTTGATAGAGAATTAAATCAATTCTCAGTGGAAGCAGGAATGAAAGGTTGAAATAAATATCGAATGTCATTTAATTTGTGTGTGGCAAATAAGACGGCATCTGTTAATACGATGTATGGATTAAAGGGCGTTTTATGTTGTAACATTTGCTGATCCAGTGTTTGAGAATTTATTTATCAGTATCAGAGAAATACAAAACTTAAAGAATCGCTGTCCTCAATGATTCGTTGTCTTAATAGCTGTCATCTTATCCCAGTTCGAGTTCACCGCCAGTTCAATCAGGACTTGGCTTTGAGTCTTCTAATTTAAGATGAGTCTCATGTGCTGTTTGTAGACAAAGCTGTTAAATTGTTGGCAAATTTCGTGCATCTTAATTCGTAAAAAAATTGGTCCGTATTAGATAAGTTAGATTTTGAATAGTATTTGGTCTGCGAAGACTAAATGGGCAGTTTAGGATTGGTTAATTTCGTGCAAATTTGTTGACCGAAAATGATATTGACAACAGTTTGACATTGGTATTTTCATAATGGTGCATATGATATCCTATGGGTGTTTATTTGTAATAAATTAATGGTTTTCAACCAAGTGTCAATGAACGAAGTGAAGACACTTATTTAGGTCGCAATGTTGTTTTTGATAGAATTTGATCATCGTCAAGGTTGGTTTTTCGTGGTTCGACCTTTTCTTTCTTTCAAAGTTCAATTCTCCTCCCTTTGCAAAAAGGAAAAAAACTGTGCTCCAATTACGAATGTGCAAATGGTGCAAAAAACGCGAATGACTTGAGTTTTCAATGTGGATTTTCATTTTAAGTTTTCTTAGGGAAAGAGAAAATTACCTATTGACAGTTTTCTCTAATTAATTTCAGTGACAATCATTCATTAAAATTCTGAAATTGATAGAAGTTCTAAATGAATTTTTCCTCGGAAGTTATAAAATGCTGAAAAAAGTCTTTTTTTTTTCCCGGTATTCTTGAGTTCATTGAGACTGGTCCACTTCCTGTTGGCTATGTGGCGAACAAGTAGGGTAGCTCAGTACTCAGTTGTTACTTGTTTTCAGTTTTTGGTTAAGGTGTTTTTTTTCCATGCAGTTTGACTACCTCAAGGAAAGCTCGTATGTTCAAGAAGGGTGTCACGTTAAAAACCTTGTGACTTTGTCTCATAAACACTCAAAACCCGGTTGCACTCGGTCTAGAAAGCGTACCATGGGATCCCAAGATCTGTACTTTATATTTTTCGAGATGCGCGAAGTAAAGATGTTTTGCAAAAATGAATTCACAAGCTGAATTGAGTCGCTCTGTGATTTGCTTTTTTCTTAAGGATTTTTTTTCTGTTCTTGGCTTTAAGATTTTTAAGTTAGATTTTATAGGCTCAGTCTCAAAAGCGCGTCCTGTGGAAGCCGTTACAATTTTTGTCAACTGAAAGCGCTATACTGGGAAATAACCTTGTAACCGATACTAGACTTTGTTTTTACCTCTTAATGTCACTTTTTGTTTTCGTCTAATCTTTGGTCGGCTTACCTGCCGGTAGTTCTAGGTTTATTGTTTTTGATATTTTAAATACTTTTTCCGTCATTTTCATGAGGGTTATTTGTTTTTGATTTAGAAAACTGTGATTACACTTGCGATTTATGCTAATCCTTTCAATCCAGATCACAGGAAGTCAAGGCTAGCTCGAGAGATCACGTGTAACCTCTGTAAGAAGCGTGGACATTTTGCGAAATGTTGTAAGTCGTCGAAATGAAGAGTGAATCTGGTTCGTGAAGAGGAGGAACTGTCTATCTCGCAGCGGACTGTAATTTCATCGATGTTGAGGACGATAGTGAACCTGAATACGCAGTTTTCCAATTGGAAGTTATAATGCAGAAAAACAGTATTGAATTGCGAAAATCAGCTGGGGGAAAGCCTAGGAGCCTTAGTGTTCAACTTCGGTCAGGCCCTAATTTTTTTAAATTCTACTATCGATACCGGAAGTCCGGTCCCATTCCTCAACAAACGAACGATAGCTTTATTACTTTCACGCAATCCGTCTAACCAATTCCGGGATATTGTACGGCATCCGATAGAAACCACATGCGTGGATTATAACAAGCGTCCCATTCAGTTTTTCGGTTCAGTTACGATTCCTGTTTCCTCAAATGGGTCGAAAGTTGAAGATGCCACTTTTCTTATTTCTGAGAATCGGAGAAATCTTCTTGGTCTGGACCTACATGAGAAATTGGGTGTGTTAACAACTCACTTAGGAGCTGAAACCATTCCTTTCTAGAAGACACAACGCATGATCCCATATCGAATTATTGGAAATCGTATTTCGCGAAACGTTACACTCACGTTTTCAATCGTTTGGGTCGTTCAAAAAAATCACAAATTTTATACTCATTTCAAAGTTCCTCTTTTCCTCGGCAAGTAAAAGGGCGTAAAAACCCTATACATATTCAGGACAGGGTCGCGGGAGACCTTGGTCAAGGATGGACATATCGGAAAGGTGGATGAGTGCACGACCGATCACTTTATTGCACCTATTGTGTTGACCGCGAAAAATGATGGTTCAATAAAAATAGACCTTAACGCCAATCCTATAAATGTGCAGATCTGGAAAAACAAGTACCAGATGAGCAATATCCATAAGCTCATTGACTCGGTGGCACAAATCCTTACCAAAAACATTCCTGGAAAGGTCTGGTTCACATTCTTGGATCTAAAGTATGCTTTCAGTCAGTTGCCTTTATCGTCTTTAACTAGCAGTCACTGCAATTTCAGTTTTTTTTTGTGTGGAGAAGCAACAGGAACGTACAGATTTTATGGCTTGACTGATATGCCAACGGAGTTCCAGGAGGCAATAGATTTTACCTTACAGGGCTTAGACGGTGTCATTGCTACTTAGACGACATTTTGGTGGTCACAAGGGGATGTGGAGGACCACAACAATCTTGTCGAGGTAGTGATGAGAAGACTTGATCAAGGTTATCCTCGTCTGTCCTCATCACCACCAGCGGATTTAGGGGGGTGGGGGGGGGGGGGGGGGGGGCGGACGCCCTGCCGAATCAAAGGGTTTCCCCTTGTACTATTTGGAGATATCCATTTTTGGCTGACTGACCCTAAAATTTTTCTAAAGGCGTCTTCGGTGCATAAATATACTAATTTGGAGGTTTGGCAAAATTTTCCAAAAAGTTCCTAAAAACGCCTTTTTTAGCCTTTTTTCAAAAATTTGCCTGCCGCGCACAAAATTTGGTCAAAATAGGGTCTTTACAGTAATATGGGAGAGCTCACAAAATAATTTTGGTCGACCTAAAAAAAGTCACAAAATTTTAGTTTTTATTTTTGAAAATCCGCCCCCCCCCCTCGAGAAAATCCTAGATCCGCCCCTGCTCATCACTTTTAGTATTAACCCTCCCAATGCTGTTCTCATTAGGAACTTGTTCTTTCTGGATGTTTTGCTGCTCCATGGAATTCACAAGTTTGTTTCTACATCGGCCACATTCTATATTTTGTCGTTTTTTCATAAAAGCTCTATAGAACTTTAAGAAACCGGTTCAATTTATGGGATTTGGAGTCCTAAGTTAAGTAAGTGTGTTGTTTGATTAGATCAGTGACAGGGGAGGTGGCTTCCCCCACCCGGAGACGTGTACTCTGTTTAAATATCTGTACACCACTGCCAAGCTGCCCATGCACATTTCTACCCACGGAGGAGACTCTACTCCTCTGGTATGACAAGTTACGATTCCGTTAATTTTTGAGATTTTGTTCTGGTGTTTTGTGTCTCAGCGCAGCGCCTAAAAAGGTATGAAATATAACAGGGAATTTTGCTTAACTGAAACTGTTATAACTTTCGTTCGGGAAAAAAGAAAAAAAATATTGACTTATATTAGATGGAGTTAGCTCCATCGAAGGCGAAAGTAGACGAAGTTAAGCAAGCTAAAATTGCAAAACTGTTAAGCATACAACAAATGCGAAATGCTTTCTCTTGTATAAAAAGAGCTGTATGGGGCTGTTCGAACAATTACAGGTAATTTTAGGCCGGCTACGGATACGGACTGCCTCTGTCCAGAATATACGCGAGATACTTCAACGGGGACTTCATCTTGTGTCCACAGGAGGGATTGGGTACAGACGCCATCATTTACCTCAATGTAAGAAAGTTGAACTTCGGGCTTCGATCACAGATGTGGGAAAGAGCTTTGTATTCGGTTGTTTTGCATCAATTAAAAGGCAGGCAGTTTTTTCAGTAAAGATACCCAAATATAAGTTTTGACGTATTTAATGACGCCGAAAAGACAACACTTTTTTCAAAACGCCGTAAACTGTTAACTTGTTAGCCTCCTCCGTTGCTAAAATATTTTAAAAACTCAGAATGTTTTGTTTTGCTAACTTTGAAACTTGAACAGCAGCCGTTGTTCTTGTTTTTATTTGATCCCTTATAGGTTGTGAAAAAGACATTAACCGGGTCTTTTTTCTTTTCATGACGGTCATCATCTTGGCAACAAAAAAACTAAAATGTGGTGTTCAAGGCGTTCTCATCACGTAGCTTCGAGCATCTTCCAGTGTTAAACTCGGACACCAAACGGCAGTACTTGGCACCCAGACTAAGTCAGACTGGACTCATCCTCCTTCACAGAAGCAGATGACGAACAGCAGCGAGGTAGAAGAGAAGAAACATCCTGGAAAGTGACCTGATGACGTACTCTCGAAGTTTTTGACAACCAACGAATCCACCTGAACTTTTTCCATAAACTCAGAACACAGCAGTAGCCATTAGGGATTTTAAAAAATTATTATTGCTATTTCAAACTTCATCAATCTCAGAGCAGATAGTGACTGATTTTTTTCTGCCTAAATCAACGTTGAAATAATAATTAATTTAATCAGCGGTGATATTGCTTGAAAAAGATTTGATACATCTGCTTTGATAGAGAATTAAATCAATTCTCAGTGGAAGCAGGAATGAAAGGTTGAAATAAATATCGAATGTCATTTGATTTGTGTGTGGCAAATAAGACGGCATCTGTTAATACGATGTGTGGATTAAAGGGCGTTTTATGTTGTAACATTTGCTGAACAAGTGTTTGAGAATTTATTTATCAGTATCAGAGGAATACAAAACTTGAAGAATCGCTGTCCTCAATGATTCGTTGTCTTAATAGCTGTCATCTTATCCCAGTTCGAGTTCACCGCCAGTTCAATCAGGACTTGGATTTGAGTCTTCTAATTTAAGATGAGTCTCATGTGTTGTTTGTAGACAAAGCTGTTAAATTGTTGGCAAAGTTCGTGCATCTTAATTCGTTAAAAAAATTAGTCCGTATTAGATAAGTTAGATTTTGAATAGTATTTGGTCTTCGAAGACTAAATGGGCAGTTTAGGATTGGTTAATTTCGTGCAAATTTGTTGACCGAAAATGATATTGACAACAGTTTGACATTGATATTTTCATAATGGTGCATATGATATCCTATGGGTGTTTATCTGTAATAAGTTAATGGTTTTCAACTAAGTGTCAATGAACGAAGTGAAGACACTTATTTAGGTCGCAATGTTGTTTTTGATAGAATTTGATCATCCTCAAGATTGGTTTTTCGTGGTTTGACCTTTTCTTTCTTTCAAAGTTCAATTCTCCTCCCTTTGCAAAAAGGAAAAAAACTGTGCTCCAATTACGAATGTGCAAATGGTGCAAAAAACGCGAATGACTTGAGTTTTCAATGTGGATTTTCATTTTAAGTTTTCTTAGGGAAAGAGAAAATTACCTATTGACAGTTTTCTCTAATTAATTTCAGTGACAATCATTCATTAAAATTCTGAAATTGATAGAAGTTCTAAATGAATTTTTCCTCGGAAGTTATAAAATGCTGAAAAAAGTCTTTTTTTTTCCGGTATTCTTGTGTTCATTGAGACTGGTCCACTTCCTGTTGGCTATGTGGCGAACAAGTAGGGTAGCTCAGTACTCAGTTGTTACTTGTTTTCAGTTTTTGGTTAAGGTGTTTTTTTCCATGTAGTTTGACTACCTCAAGGAAAGCTCGCATGTTCAAGAAGGGTGTCACGTTAAAAAACTTGTGACTTTGTGTCATAAACACTCAAAACCCGGTTGCACTCGGTCTAGAAAGCGTACCATGGGATCCCAAGATCTGTACTTTACATTTTTCGAGATGCGCGAAGTAAAGATGATTTGCAAAAATGAATTCACAAGCTGAATTGAGTCGCTCTGTGATTTGCTTTTTTCTTAAGGATTTTTTTTCTGTTCTTGGCTTTAAGATTTTTAAGTTAGATTTTATAGGCTCAGTCTCAATAGCGCGTCCTGTGGAAGCCGTTACAAATTTTGTCAACTGAAAGCGCTATACTGGGAAATAACCTTGTAACGGATACTAGACTTTGTTTTTACCTCTTAATGTCACTTTTTGTTTTCGTCTAATCTTTGGTCGGCTTACCTGCCGGTAGTTCTAGGTTTATTGTTTTGATATTTTAAATACTTTTTCCGTCATTTTCATGAGGGCTATTTGTTTTTGATTTAGAAAACTGTGATTACACTTGCGATTTATGCTAATCCTTTCAATCCAGATCACAGGAAGTCAAGTCTAGCTCGAGAGATCACGTGTAACCTCAGTAAGAAGCGTGGACATTTTGCGAAATGTTGTAAGTCGTCGAAATGAAGAGTGAATCTAATTCGCGAAGAGGAGGAACTGTCTATCTCGCAGCGGACTGTAATTTCATCGATGTTGAGGACGATAGTGAACCTGAATACGGAGTTTTCCAATTGGAAGTTATAATGCAGAAAAACAGTATTGAATTGCGAAAATCAGCTGGGGGAAAGCCTAGGAGCCTTAGTGTTCAACTTCGTTCAGGCCCTAATTTTTTTAAATTCTACTATCGATACCGGAAGCCCGGTCCCATTCCTCAACAAACGAACGATAGCTTTATTACTTTCACGCAATCCGTCTATCCAATTCCGGGATATTGTACGGCATCCGATAGAAACCACATGCGTGGATTATAACAAGCGTCCCATTCAGTTTTTCGGTTCAGTTACGATTCCTGTTTCCTCAAATGGGTGGAAAGTTGAAGATACCACTTTTCTTATTTCTGAGAATCGGAGAAGAAATCTTCTTGGTCTAGACCTACATGAGAAATTGGGTGTGTTAACAACTCACTTAGGAGCTGAAACCATTCCTTTCTAGAAGACACAACGCATGATCCCATATCGAATTATTGGAAATCGTATTTCGCGAAACGTTACACTCACGTTTTCAATCGTTTGGGTCGTTCAAAAAAATCACAAATTTTATACTCATTTCAAAGTTCCTCTTTTCCTCGGCAAGTAAAAGGGCGTAAAAACCCTATACATATTCAGGACAGGGTCGCGGGAGACCTTGGTCAAGGATGGACATATCGGAAAGGTGGATAAGTGCACGACCGATCACTTTATTGCACCTATTGTGTTGACCGCGAAAAAGGATGGTTCAATAAAAATAGACCTTAACGCCAAGCCTATGAATGTGCAGATCTGGAAAAACAAGTACCAGATGACCAATATGCATAAGCTCATTGACTCGGTGGCACAAATCCTTACCAAAAACATTCCTGGAAAGGTCTGGTTCACATTCTTGGATCTAAAGTATGCTTTCAGTCAGTTGCTTTTATCGTCTTTAACTAGCAGTCACTGCAATTTCAGTTTTTTTTTGTGTGTAGAAGCAACAGGAACGTACAGATTTTATGGCTTGACTGATATGCGAACGGAGTTCCAGGAGGCAATAAATTTCACCTTACAGGGCTTAGACGGTGTCATTGCTACTTAGACGACATTTTGGTGGTCACAAGGGGATGTGGAGGACCACAACAATCTTGTGGAGGTAGTGATGAGAAGACTTGATCAAGGTTATCCTCGTCTGTCCTCATCACCACCAGCGGATTTAGGAGGGGGGGGGGGGGGCGGACGCCCTGCCGAGTCAAAGGATTTCCCCTTGTACTATTTTGAGATATCCATTTTTGGCTGACTGACCCTAAAATTTTTCTAAAGGCGTCTTCGGTGCATAAATATACTAATTTTGAGGTTTGGCAAAATTTTCCAAAAAGTTCCTAAAAAAAGTCTTTTTTTTAGCCTTTTTTCAAAAATTTGACTGCGGCGCACAAAATTTGGTCAAAATAGGGTCTTTACAGTAATATGGGAGAGCTCACAAAATAATTTTGGTCGACCTAAAAAAGTCACAAAATTTTAGTTTTTATTTTTGAAAATCCGCCCCCCCCCCTCGAGAAAATCCTAGATCCGCCCCTGCTCATCACTTTTAGTATTAACCCTCCCAATGCTGTTCTCATTAAGAACTTGTTCTTTCTGGATGTTTTGCTGCTCCATGGACTTCACAAGTTTGTTTCTACATCGGCCACATTCTATATTTTGTCGTTTTTTCATAAAAGCTCTATAGAACTTTAAGAAACCGGTTCAATTTATGGGATTTGGAGTCCTAAGTTAAGTACGCGTGTTGTTTGATTAGATCAGTGACAGGGGAGGTGGCTTCCCCCACCCGGAGACGTGTACTCTGTTTAAATATCTGTACACCACTGCCAAGCTGCCCATGCACATTTCTACCCACGGAGGAGACTCTACTCCTCTGGTATGACAAGTTACGATTCCGTTAATTTTTGAGATTTTGTTCTGGTGTTTTGCTGTCTCAGCGCAGCGCCTAAAAAGGTATGAAATACAACAGGGAATTTTGCTTAACTGAAACTTATAACTTTCGTGCGGGAAAAAAGAAAAAAGTTATTTGACTTATATTAGATGGAGTTAGCTCGATCGAAGGCGAAAGTAGACGGAGTTAAGCAAGCTAAAATTGCAAAACTGTTAAGCATAGAAAAAAAGCCAAATGCTTTCTCTGGTATGAAAAGAGCTGTATGGGGCTGTTCGAACAATTACAGGTAATTTTAGGCCGGCTACGGATACGGACTGCCTCTGTCCAGAATATACGCGAGATACTTCAACGGGGACTTGATATTGTGTCCACAGGAGAGACTGGGTACAGACGCCATCATTTACCTCAATGTAAGAAAGTTGAACTTCGAGCTTCGATCACAGATGTGGGAAAGAGCTTTGTATTCGGTTGTGTTTTGCATCAATTAAAAGGCAGGCAGTTTTGTCAGTAAAGATACCCAAATAAAGTTTTGACGTATTTAATGACGCCGAAAAGACAACATTTTTTTCAAAACGCCGTAAACTGTTAACTTGTTAGCCTCCTCCGTTGCTAGAGTATTTTAAAAACTCAGAATGTTTTGTTTTGTTAACTTTGAAACTTGAACAGCAGCCGTTGTTCTTGTTTTATTTGATCCCTTATAGGTTTTGAAAAAGACATTAACCGGGTCTTTTTTCTTTTCATGACGGTCATCATCTTGGCAAAAAAAAAACTAAAATGTGGTGTTCAAGGCGTTCTCATCACATAGCTTCGAGCATCTTCCAGTGTTTAACTCGGCCACCAAACGGCAGTACTTGGCACCCAGACTATCTCAGACTGGACTCATCCTCCTTCACAGAAGCAGATGACGAACAGCAGCGAGGTAGAAGAGGAGAAACATCCTGGAAAGTGACCTGATGACGTACTCTCGAAGTGTTTGACAACCAACGAATCAACCTGAACTTTTTTCATAAACTCAGAACACAGCAGTAGCCATTAGGGATTTTAAAAAAATATTATTGCTATTTCAAACTTCATCAATCTCAGAGCAGATAGTGACTGATTTTTTCTGCCTAAATCAACGTTGAAATAATAATTAATTTAATCAGCGGTGATATTGCTTGAAAAAGATTTGATACATCTGCTTTGATAGAGAATTAAATCAATTCTCAGTGG